TTTTGTTTTTTTTGTTTTTTCTATATATAAAAAATCATGTGATATGACGTAATTTCGATCATTTCGACTTTTCATTTCGACTTTGACCTCCAAAGTCGAAACATTTCAACTTTTGGGTTTTCATTTCGACTTTATATATAATTTTGACTATAAGCAGGGTTGGAAAGTACAGTGTTAGTATAATAATTAGTACAATTAGTACATTATAATAATTAATATAAAAAATAGTACATACAAAATTCCCAACTCTAGTTATAAGTAATCTAAATTATGAAAAACATTTGTGTATAAATAATCTATAAACATTCTTTTTATTTAATTTTCAATTTGTTATCAAATTTACTAATAATTAGCTTTCAATTATGAATGATTAGATCACAAATTCAGATAATGATAATATATTTATTACTTTTAAAAATAAAGCTCTTTTTATAGCTTCAAAAATTTTTTTATGAAAGCAATCATATATAATAATGAAAATTAAGTTAAAATGTAAATTTTTATTCTTTATAATACTTAAAATTCCAAGTAGATAGAATCTTATCATTTGATGTATTTGCAACCAGATATATGAACATGTCAGATTTACTACATCACTCATTTCATTTAGTTTCTCAAATTTTATCAAACCTAATTTCAGAAATTGTTCTGGTAAAATATTAATGCGAGATAAGATCTGATATTTATTCAGGTGTGTGTGTCAGAATAGCTTGAAGAACAGGTATTTAAATAACAAGTATTAGAAATCTATTCACTATAGTGATCCTTAAGTTAATAGTATACCACTTCTGCGATTGAAACAAAGCTGATATTTTCGAAGTCAACAACTTCTTTTAAAGCCAATTCAAGTGCTTCCAATGCTATGCTATTTCCACTCATATCATTTATTAACATATGAAGAAGTGGTGTATCTTTAAAGATTGCATCACCCTCTTTTTTTTAGAGGTTCCAAGGAACGAATTGAAAGAAAAATTCACTTTTGATGAGAAAGAGCAACTATTTCATTAAATGGCATGCAAAAGTTACTATACAACACACAATTACCAAGGGAGAACCATTGTTCATAACAAGAAGAGATATCTTCATAATTAAAGAATAAAACTTGTTTATGCCATCATTTTGGTTGATTAAAGCGGTTTGCAATCCATCAATAAATCAGTTCCTTTAATGCTTTTTTTTTTGATTAGCACATCATTTAAGAAATCAAGAATTGTAAGATTTTGCTTTAAATTATCATGAATTTCTGCCTAGTGAAGGTCATTCTGAAACTGCTATAACATCCGTTTAGCAATCGCAGCATTTTCATCAGTTTCCACAGACGTGTTATACCATTTTCTAAGGCGGTCAGTGAAATCCAAATTTTGGTCAAAATTTATATTATTGAACCACTTGGCTGATCTCGGTCATGTGCACAAAATTAGCTTAATAATTAAAATTAACAAAAATTTTGGATTTCCCCCTTTTCTACTGACCGCCTTCCATATATTGAAGATAAGTGTTTCTTGCAAACAAGGTCCCAATTCTGGATCACTTACAAATATTTTGCGGAGTATTTTAGGAATCTCTGTAGCATTTCGAGATTTCCCACATCCGGCACCAGACACCATAAAACGTTGCCGTGTTTGTTTTATCACGTCCATTTTTTTTGAACTCATCATATAGATCCCGAACATGCTTTTTTAATTCTTCTTCCAACTTAAACGATTCTTGATAATCCCAAAAACGTCCATCAGTATATAAAAGTAGCATAGGAGTCTGTTCTAGATATGTCTTTGAGCCTTGGCCTTTTATTTGGATAATTTATAAATATAGAAACAAGCTAATTAACAACAAATATGGCAGCGCAAGCAGCGAAAATGAACAAGGCTATTCTCGCGTTGACCAAATTTGTCGACGAATTTAAAAGCACGTGCAAAAATGAAAGAAAGCACAAGATTAAGTATTCCGTGTTAATTGAAAATATGACATGGAGCTGACGAATCATAAGAATATACCAGAACTAGACTCTTTTGATAACTCCCTTAGGTATAAAAGCTTGGTATTATTGTTTGGGCATGCCACACGACATTTCTATACAGTAGCCAAATTAGTAACCTTGGTGAGATACTTAAATAAACAAGCCAATTATTTTTCATCCAATTTGTTAGTTTCTGAAGCGAGACCGTTAACAATGTTAAGAATATTGGTTAGATCGGTCATGTTAAAATAGTTTTTGCGTAAAGAATAGTTTCACAAGTAGGTTTTTTTTCAGAAATCATTCGTTTAGTTATTTTGATTGCTTATCCAATCAAAATTTACATATTTAAATCACAAAACGTGTTGTCGATCACCAATTGATATCTTTTTTTTTTTTAAAAAAAAAGGGGGAAAAGGCAACTTTTATAAAAATTATAAAAATGCGACAATTTATTTTAGAATATCGGTACAAGCTACCTCAAAAATGCACAAGTTTTTTAACCTTGCGCAAAGCCTCATATAGTAAATCAGCATTAAACAATTTCAATCCTTATGCTTACCAGCATTCAAAGCATGTTAGTCTCGATTTTAAATTGTTTCATAAATTTATGCATTAAAGTTTACTATTTTAAAAATAAATTCCAAATAGATATCTTCCTCTTCGAGCATGAACCTTCAGACCATGCCAGATCCACCGCAGGTGACTTTTGAGGCCAATTATTTAATATATTTAAGATGTGAATATTATATATTTTATTAATTTCTTTCTTTTGAATTTAATACAGGCAGACGTCCTTCATAAAAGAAAGTTTGGTAGCCGTTTTTTTATATTAAATCGTCCAAATGTTCTAAATGCATTGGATCTAAGCATGGTTAGAAATATGACACCACAATTGCAGGTTTGTAAAAAATATAATGTATTTCTTGATTTACAACTTTTGTTATATCAAAATTAACTTGATTGATGTAGGCTTGGAATGAATCCTATTTATGTAAAGTAATCATTCTTAAGGCTAGAGAAAAGGCGTTTTGTGCTGGTGGCGACGTAAAACGTAATTATAAAATATATTGATAAATTCTTTTGAAATCAATATCAAAAATACTCACACGTTTTGAGTATAGGAGTTGTAGAATTGGCGACGAAGGAGAAGAATGGTGAAAATGGTCTTCGAGCCCTTCAGTTTTTCGAAGAAGAGTACCAGCTTAATCATCTTATCGCCACAATAGATAAACCATTTGTTGCCTTGATGAATGGCATTACTAGTATGTCTTGTTTGTCAATGACATTAACATAATATATATTAAAATTTGCTCAAAGATCTAATACCAAAACATTCACATAGTTGTTCTATTTCTTTTGCTTGATTACAATTAACAAAGTGGGAGGTGGCGTTGGTCTATCAGTTCACGCGCCATTTCGTGTCGCTACTGAGAGAACGGTATTTGCCATGCCAGAGACTAATATCGGGTTTTTCCCTGACGTTGGTGGATCCTTCTTTTTACCAAGAATGGACGGAGAGGTTGGAACTTACCTAGCGTTGACCGGCGCAAGGCTACATGGCATAGATGTTTTGTACGTGTTGTTTGTATCAATTATTTTTTGTACAAATTATGCTCATAAAGTCATTTATAATCTTTACCAATTCTTTTTAGTTTGTCTGGAATTGCGACACATTACGTTCCTTTAAATCGATTACCGCATTTGGAAGATCGTTTGAGTGAACTAGAGAGTGATGATCATGAGGTGATAAATGCAGCCATTGAAGATTTTGTAGCGGAACCTGAAAAAAATCATAATTATGCTCTTGGTGGGAATATTAGAAAAGCAATCGATCGGTAAGAAATTCTTTACGATGATTAGCATGAAGGAAAGCGACAACTTGTTGACAATTTTTGTGTATTTTAGGTGCTTTAAAGGTAACTCAGTTGAGAATATTATTGATGCGTTGTCCAGGGAAGAAGATAAGACGTGGTCAAAGAGCATAATAAACGATTTATTAAAAATGTCGCCTACAAGTCTAAAAGTGGGTTATTAATATTTAGGTTGTACTTGTTGATTTTTATTCTTTGACATTTATTCATTCAACTTTATCTAAAGGTTACTTTGAGGGAATTAAGAAAAGGCAAACAAATGGTTATAACGGATTGCTTTAAAATGGAGTATAAATTAGCTCAAAAAATTCTGGTGAGCTTTAAATATTGTTCAAAAATATTCAAAATTTATGGATAACTAACAACTATGATAAACAGGAAAAGTCGGATTTCATTGAAGGAGTAACAGCAAGACTTATCGAGAAAAGAGAACCTGTCTGGAATCCTTCAAAATTAGAAGATATATCTGACGACGCAATAGAAAATTTTTATTTTGAATCATCGGAAAAACATCATTTAAATTTATTAAATATACGGTCTTATGAGAATTATCCGTATTCTAGGTTTGCACTACCAACTGAAGAAGAAATTAGAAAAGTTGTTACTGGGGAAACACCGGATGCAGGATCTGTAAGCATGACTGAACAAGAGATTGTCGATTTCTTTCTCAAAGACCGAAAGTCTAAAATAGGTGTTCGAGAAAAAGTACTGGAAGTTCTAAATAGAAAAACCACTCAGATTGATAACTATGAAGGATTAAAGTGGAATAACGAACATTAAAAAAAAAAAATAATAATTTATATTTGACTTTATGGGTATGGATTTTATGTATTTAATTTGTTATCAATTTTTTTTTTAAAAAAAAAGGTTTGGTTTTTATGACAATTAATAGTAAAAAAACGCGTTCAATATAATAAAATGTTTCATCAAATTATGACGTGCCTACCATGGTCAAATCATCTGATGCGAATCAAAAATCAATGATTCACTTTTTGCATAACGTTTACTACAAACCATGACATATATTTTATATCTTGAACCATCAAAAACAAGCAAATTTTATAAAAGTATTCAAAATTTTTTTGATCAAACGTTAAAATTATATGGACCAAACGAGGCACTTCAATATCCTCCTCATTGTTCAATGACGGGATTTTTCATTTTGCAAGATGATATACAACGAAAAATAAATCAAATCATCGAATTAATTGACCTTTTCTTAGAATCTCACAAAAATGAAATCAGTAATTCTAGTTACGCCGCAATACAATTGAAGGATATTATTTGTATATCAGCAAGATTATTGATTTCGTTACAAGTGTATCAGCCATTACATCAACTTGTACAACTTATTTCCAATTTAGATTCCAATATTCGTCCTAAACGAATTGATCATATTTCTTTAGCTTATTGTAGTAATTCTTTTGCGGAATGTCGACAAAAATTAAATAATAATGACATAATGCAAAATATGTTAGAGTTTGCACGTGAATTGATTGAATTTGATGAGGCGAATGGTGGTGGTTCTTGGGATATTGTTTTCTATGAAAATTTAAAGCTTAGTCAAAAGTTGGATGAACAACATATTTTCCGAGAAATTAAAAGATGGAGAATATGAGATCAAGTAGGTTAATTAATTGTTCTTTAACGTTAAGTTACAAAAATTTATTTTATCTTATTTTATTTTTACTAAAGAGAAAATAATATAATTAATGTGATCAATGTGGGTTGAATCATTAAAGATTTTATTGATTTTGATCTTATTTTCTTACAATAATATATATTTATGTATATATATCTCCTTTCCTTATTATTCATATCTATAAAAAAATTTCTCTTTTACGCGTAAGAATTAAGGACGATTAAAAAATTCCTAAAAATTTAAAATCATCGTTATAATTACCCTATCTTTATGTTAGAAGAGAACGCAGACAAAAAAAGACTTGGTAATATATAATATTATATAAAAAAAGGAGGATTAATGTAAGAGCGATATTCCGAAATAAAAAAAAAAGAAAGAAAAACCAATAATTGCATTAATTAAATCAAAATAATGATAAAGAATGAAGCTAGACTTTGATTGTTCACGCATCAATTTCAAATGCGAATAAAGCCCATAAAATTCTTTTTGAAATGGTTTACTCCTTTTGGTTTGTCTGATCACTCTGCTCCCGTTGCTCCCGTTTCGCCTCCGCTACATCATCCTTTTTATCCTCCTCCTCCTCATCATCATCGCTATCATCCTTCTTTCGCTTTTTCCCTGGTCGATCAACATCTAAAAGTCTGGCATCTTTTTCTACAATTAAACTTCTCAACCATTTGATTTCCATTTCAAGTTCTCTTACACGACCTTCAAGCGTTTCGGCTTTAGCCGTCATTTCCCTTGCGGTTCTTTCAAGAGCTTGCTCTCGCATCTTTTTCTTTACACGAAATCTAGCAGATGCGGCAGTATTTCTCCTCCTTTTATCTTCCTCAGCAGCCAATTTTGCGGAAAGTTCATGGTCAACCTTTTCTTCATCATCTTTTGTTTTAACGGATTCATCTTGTGAGATTTCTATGTTCGATGATTTCATCGATGAATTTTTACGATTGAGAGTCAAACCTGACAAAGCGGTAACATTTGTAGAAGTGGTTGAATTAGTGTTGGTGGATGTAGATGTATCGGCAGTTGAAACATCAGCAACGGCAACATTTTTAGTAATAACTGTTTCTGTGACTTTAGGATCAGGTATGATCTCTGATGTAATTACGCTCGAGGTATTTTCAGATGAAGCATCCTTTGGTAAAATGATTGGATTATTTACAACGGTTGGTATAGAAACTGGAACTATAGGAGCAGTCGGGAATATAGAAGTGAAATTGGTACTTGGAAAAGTGAAAAGCGGATATAAAGATTGTTGCGTTTGATCATTGAGTGAGAGATCGTGAATTATCATCGGTTGAGTGACTGAACTATCTTGATCTTCAAGTTTTGTATCGATGGTTGGGCTGACCTGAAAGTCATATTGGAATTCGGCATTAATCCAAAAGTCAAGTTGTGAATTTATGTCCTCTGTGGACATTTCAGGTACGTTCTCCGGGTTCAGCAGATGTGAAAGGTTAAAATCGTAGTTGTAATTTGATGACATTGCCGGCTCTTTTTTTTTTTTTTTTTTTTTTTATATATATTTATTTATTCCTTCGAAGACTTACTTTTTTTTTTTTTTTTTTTTTTTTTTTTGCTTAATGGTTTTGTATTCTTTTTAAATTCTCAACTTTTTTCCGTTAAAAGAGCATAAAGAGGCTTTTTTAATGATCCGTTTTTTTTTTCGTTTTTACCGCTCCAGGCCCTTGAGAGCGAGTAAAAAGAAAAAAGAATTAAAAAAAAAGAAATTTTAAATAATTTATATATATATATATATATATATTGGGTGAGAAAAATATATATAAAAAAAAGATATTTAGGAAAAAAAGGAAAAAAAAAAAAAAATTTTTTTCAGCTGACAAATTAGGATTAATAATTTAAAGGCACTTTGTGAGATTTTTTGAACGTGCGTTTTTTATGTTTTACAAAACTAAAATATTTGGAAATGTTAATTCTATGAATGGGATTCTTTTTTGATGTTTCATATAAATAAATTTAGCCATTAGATTAGCCAGTAAAGAATAGTGGTACATGTACGGTAAAATTTTGATATTTTATGTAAAAATGTTATCATCTTTTAAGGATATGATTGGTTGATCAAATAAGACAAATCAAAATCGATTTCTCTTCATATTATTTATATTATTAGTTATTCATTCAACGTTTACACGGAAAAGTACAAATTGAAAAAAAAAATTTCATATAAAAATGATACATTTTTTCCGTATCTTATCATTGGAAATTAAAGGGGGAAAGCGGGGGGAAGTAGTTTATAATTTATGAACTTTTTTTTTTTCTGCGTCTTATAAAGCTGCGCCAGACATATGCTTCCCGAAATTGAAACGGAACGCGTGACAAGTAATAAGAATTGATCCCCAGAATCCCATTTAAAGAATTACCTAATGAAGTGAGTGTTAGAAACATAAAAGAAATTATTTCCTTTAAATCATATTATTTTCAGCAACTTTTCAACTTGTTTCTCTCATTCAAACTCTTTAAATTACCACGGATGATCCTTTTAAAGAAAAGATGATGAGAACATGTTAACTAGTATTAGTAGGGAGTGGAGTTTGGTCCTAGGGAAAAAGATGAAGATTATACCAAAAAATTTCAGGCAAATCAAAATATTTTCCGAAATTGTTCCAATCAAAATTCGATTCAAAAAGATCCACAAATGGGTAGATGATAGAATTTATAAATTATCTTTTTTTTTTTTAAAAAAAATTTTTAAAAAATTACCTTTTTTTTATTTATTGAGATGTTTTGGCTTCACCCTTCTTATCGTCAAACGTTTCCTTTTTCTCTCCGTTCAAATCCGCGTCAAACGGTTAAACCTTTTTCAACTAATATAACATTTACAAAAAAACTCACTTACCCTATCTTTCTAGCCGTTTTTCCTGTATTATCTTTTGGTTTAGGTACTTGGCAAATACAAAGATTACGTTGGAAAGTTAAATTAATTGAAGAATGTGAGGATCAGTTGTCTAAACCACCAATTAATTTACCAAAAAAAGTAAAGTGAGTCAAAATTCCCCCTTCCCCCTTTGTTAATCATTTTTTGATGCGTTACATTTACTTATTTGCTTCGTTTCTTCCCTCCTAGTTTGGATGTTTTGAAAGGTTATTTATATAGACGCGTTAAAACTTCGGGTCAGTTCCGTCATGATCAAGAACTTTACTTGGGCCCAAGAACATTTAATAATCAACTTGGGTATTATATTATCACCCCAATTGAACGTGAAAATGGGTTAATATTTTATTTTTAACTCCTTTTTTTTTCAATTTTCAATTTTCAATTTTTTTTTAAAAAAAAAATACTTTTGCACATGACTGATATTTCTATTTAAATCAAAAAAAAAATCTTTTACTATAGATCCACAGTTTTGGTTAAAAGGGGGTGGGTTCCGAAAGAAAAACTCGATCCATCAAAGAGACCGGCTGGACAAGTATATACTTGGAATTAACCCTTAAAATGATTATTACCTATTAAATCGCAATTTCAAAATTTTTAGATCAAGGACAATGTAATCATTGAAGGATTGTTAAAAGGTTCAGAAAAGGTAAAATGATTTAACTATTTTTTATTTAAAAAAAAGAATTATAAGTTTCTTTATTAAGTAAATATAAATAATACAACATATTTAGAAAACGTGGTTCGTTCCAGAAAATAGCCCAGAAAAAAACCAATGGTGCTGGCTAGACATTGATACTATGGCTCAGAGAACAGGAGCTCAACCAGTACTGATAGAACAAAGTTTGGGTATGATTCGATCAACTTTAATATTAAAATAAAAAAAAAACCATACTCTTTCTGAATATTATAATTTGTTATATATAGAAGGATCCCCTTTTCTGACGAATCATTTGATCCAAAATGGTATCCCAGTCGGAAAAATTCCAAATGTGGAATTACGAAACACGCACTTACAATACGCAATCACATGGTAAAAATGTTTTTAAAAATATATTTCCAGCAGACTTATTCAATTTGCTATTATTATTTTTTTTTCCTTCTTTTTTTTTTTTTTTGTCTCTTTTTTCTCTTTCTTTTTTCTTTTTTTTTCCTTTTCCTTTTCTTATTATTATAAAGTAAAATAACGGTATTTTCTTATTCAGGTATACGTTATCCGCAGCCACAAGCATTATGTTATATTTTCTTTTAAAGAAACCTCCAACCGGACAAGTTAAACGCCAAGTAATGAAAGGATAAAAAAGATAAAAAAATCATAGTATTTCTTTTTTTTTTTGGATTGAGTATGTGAATAGCATACACATACCTACATAATCGTGCATTTCTTATCCTGATCGTTCGGATCATTATCATCTCTTTGAAAGTTTGATGATCTATAAAAGAATCGAATTAGTTGTAAACCTGTTAATTTATCGATTTAATGAATCCTTACTTGTCCATCGTCATACTTCTATTTCCTGAAGATGGAGCTGTGGGAAGTCGAGGATCTGATCTTCTTAACTGTAAAAGAAGGTGAATTTAACCCGTAAAAATGTTACATAATGACACTATAAATAAACATACCCTTTCATCGATAACTGTTTGGGAATAGGGATCAAATGCTATTTTGAAATAACACGAGTATTAAAAAAAAATGCCTTGTGCGTGATTAGCTATGTAATAGAATTATACAAACGAGTTTGAACGGAAGTTGTGCTTTGTCTAGTTGTTTCAACCGTTCTCATTGTATTTCTAGACGAAGTCTCGACTGAAATCGATGTTGAAGAACTGTTCGAAATTCCAGATGTCACAACTGACGGTAATTCTGTATGATCCACTGTCGTAGACATTTTCCTTCTACTACCTAATTCCACTCCATTCGTTCCTAGATTTTTGAAAAAGTGTTTAAAAAACAATCATCAAAACTTTGGAGATAGATATATTTAGATCTCTCCAAAGTTATAATAAATATACCAGTTACTTGAGTATAGCCAAAATCTGAATTAAAATAACAGTAACATTATTAACAAAACCTTTGAAATGAAATAAATGTATATATGCAAATAAATAAATGGTACAAATCGCTTTACCTTACCTTTCACCAACTTGGCTCGTTTATTATTTCTTCTCCTTACTCTTTTTGTGTTGCCGTTATTTGGAGCAACGTCTGCATTTGCATTAATAGAAGAACTAGAAGGACTACTTTCTATAAAATTCAAAATTTTTATTTTAATCATTCGAACTTTTTCTCAATTCTGATTATAAAAATAATACCATGTCTCGCCCTTTCATCGTCGGGGTTCATTATATTTCGCTCAATGATGTCATCCTTACGAGGATCGACGCCAACAGTTATGGGTTCCAAAATTGTGGGCTTTATATCCTCCACGTCCTCCTCGAGCGACTCAGGCAACTGACGTTTCTTTGAATCATTAGCAACGTTTACTATTTCGCGTTCCTTTCCTTTAGAACTACTGCTAACTAGCTCAGTCTTGGTGGTTCTTTGTGTCGCGTGAGTAAACAATATTTCATTAGTAGGTTGGGGATCGTTCGATTGTGATGAATTCGAGGTTGAATTATTCAAATAATCGATAAACTTGGGAACCGGCAATGAAAACGAGAGGGATGAAGTTATGTCGAGAGCTAGCTTCTTCAGATTTTCATCTTGTACCACGGGCTGATAAAACATAAAGTATTAGAAAGCAACCTAATTTTACTAATATTAGTAAAAACAGGAATAAAATTAAAACCTCATCGAGATAATCTCTAAATAACATCGAAGAATTTGATTTGTATTTAGAAACATCTTTAACAAATGGAGTTTCTAATAGAGAATAATCCCTTTCCACTTCCATCGGTACAGGTAGATCTAAACGAATAACACATTATAAGAAAATATAAAGAAAATAAAATAAAAAAAATAAAATTTTAAGAACCACAAAAATATTTACCTGCGGGTTCGATCGTGTCCGTGTCCAAGTCCATGTCCACGTCTTCATCCTCTTCCTCGTCCACCTCCAACTCCACCTTTTCGGTTACTACGTTATTTTCTGTGGATGTAGAAAACGACGAAGGTATATTTGTAGGCATTATTGCACTATTTCTCGAATCTTTAATTAACCTCGCCAGTTCAAGAATATTCATCCTAACGATTGAAGGGACACCCATTTTAAAACAAGCGGAAATTTCTTTAGGGTCATCAGGCATTTTTTCGGACAACGCCATAAGCATCTCATTCGGTAACACATAACTAAAAAAAAAATTTGTGAATTTTTAATATGCGTGGCCTTCGGCAAAGGAAATTTTTTTAAATCACACAGCATTCATTACTCACGCGGTGCTCTCATCTTCCTCTCTTGCAATTCGGTCTCGCCAAGCATGAAGAACCTTAAATACTGCCATCTAGAAAAATAAAAATCACGTCAACAATTAACAAAAAAGATAACTCGATCCTAAAAAAAAAGAATCAGTATTTAATAAGGATTAAATATAAACTCAACCTACTTGTTGATAATCGAATGATTTATTCCATTTTGCCTGAAGCTTCTTGTAACCACCGATTTCATCTCCATCCTCATTATATACCACTTTTTTATACCTCTTTAGCGAAGTTTCCGCGGATCGATTAAGTACAACCCATAAACGATTCAAAGTCGTTTGATCGGACCTTGTTATTAACTCGTTTCGCATTCTGTCATAAATATACAATAAATAATGTGTATCCGCACGAGCATAATTTAACATTTCCTCTGGGATAGGTCTGAATGAATTTTTCGGTAGATTTTAGTATATTCCTAAATGATTCTGTTAGAAGATTATCCTACGTAGACCCATATAACATACCTTATTCTCCAATCTTCTAATTGATATTTCTTATCCGCTTCATAATCACAGTAATGATTCAATAAAAATGCCAACGATTTTTGTGGGAAATCTATTCGGAAAAAAAAGTGCTTAGTTTCTAGGAAAAAATATAAATATATTCGTGCTCAAATGAATCCAGAATAAATATTACCCATTACGGAAGCAGCTCGAAATGTATCAAACAAGTTGACAACATAAACGCTAAAATCTTTTTGTAGCCAAACAATATCGGAATCCGCACCATGAAATACCTGGAAGAACATAAATCATCTTTAGCATCAAAGTTTCCTCAAGGAATTAGTTAATAAAATCATTTCAAGTACCTTCACGATGTTCGGATTGGTAAAGGTATGGTTCAACATTTGTAAAGAATCTCTTAAAGCTAAAGCATCAATGATAAAGTCTTCCTTTCTTGTACTTATCTGTATCAAACAAGTAAACCCTTGATATGAACGATAGTGATGGTGCTAAAAAAAGATGAAAATGATAGAATGGGGTCAATGTTGGGGTTATAGAAAAGATTGATCGAAAATTTCTTTAGTACCTCTAAATCTACTGCAATCTCATTAGCATCCTCCAACTTTTCGCACATTGCCGTTAATTCTTCCAACGTGTCTACCCAGATGTGAGGTGAGCTCACGATGCGTTTATATAGTATTGGTTCCCTATCCTCGAACATATAAGGTGGATAAGTTTGAGAAAGATTTTTTATCTCATGCTCGTAAGGATGTTTATACCTAGAATAAAACACATATAATTAATGCTAAATCAAAAACTTTTTATCGTAAAGACGATATGGTATCCTGCGTAATCAATTTACTTACGGCAATTCATTAACATCTAATGGGATTATGGCATTTGGTTTCTCAACAAGTTTTGGAATAAAAGGTGCGGAAGTATTGTCAACCTTTTCTTTAAAATTCAATTGAGGGCGACTAATGGTGCTGGCATATAAAAACCGAAGGTCCGATTTGTTCTTTGATTGAATAATTGACCATTTATTGGGTGAATATTTTATAACCAAGATTTATTCAAACGTTCGTGCTGAACAAAAAAAAAAAGAAAAGCTCGAACCAAAACGAATTATATCAATGACACATACATTTGATATCTCCGCAACAACTGGCTTGGATTTATTTATCGTAGCCGATATTTTTTTGGTTCGACCACTGAATTCATCCAATGAAACATTCTAGACGATAACACAAGTGTTTAAATAAGTAATCAAACCTAAACCTCAACCAATTCAACAAATGAAAGAGCACAGAACTTACGACTCCGTCAATCAGGGAATCAACCAAAGAAACAAAATCTTTACTCCAAGAATCGACATCCTCGGCCTCGGTAATCTCACAAAAACCTTCAGAACCAGATAAATCAACGGTAGAGATCATTTGATTTATCCTTGGTAAAATTCTTCCTGAAAGTTGGTCCATTCTTTGTGCTGCTGTTGGATCAATCATTCGATAGAATGGAACTTCTTTAGAGGGTAAATCATTATTACGTTTTGCGCTAATGTTGAGTAATGATCTGTAAAGAAGTGTCTGGTAACGCTCAAAAGTAGTAGAATTAATTTCTTCAGGAATCGCAAATTCAGAATCGGACATTATTGCTAAATGGGTAATTATTATAAAATAAGGTCAAAAAAAAAAGGAATTCTTTTTTTAAAGTTTTGAATTTCTTTTTTTTTGTACAACTTATATGGGGGTTTGATTTGATTATCGTTTTTAATTTTGTAGGATGTGTAACATGTAAAACAAAGCAAAACCAATCATAATGAATCATTGAAAACGTATATAACTGAATTAATTTAAAAAATTTTTTGGTTCCTCCTCTTCCAAAAAGATCTCGACTTTTACGAGGTTTGGATTAAATCTTGAGCAATAATAGCTTCAAATCAATGACTAATACAACCGTAAGTATAATCCGTCAGATAAAGTTTTTAATCTTTAATTTATTTTTACTTTAACGTATCAATTTCAAAATTCATTTTTTTTTTAAAAAAAAAATTGATCTGATATATCTTTTAATATATAGGCAAAAGGTGGCTCGGCGAAAGCCAACAAAAAAGTGGTTCAGAAACAAAAATATATAATTGACGCTTCGGGCCCCTCCCGAGACAAAATTTTTGACTCTTCGGCTTTTGTGCGTCTTTTTTTTTGTTATTTTATTTTATTTTATTTTATTTTTTCAGAAAAAAAAGAAAAAAAGAAAAGAATCTAATTAATTCTATACGTTATTTATTGGTTTTTTTAGGAAAAATTTCTTCATGATAGAGTAAAAATTAATGGTCGTGTGGGCCAATTAGGAGAGGTTGTTACTATATCTCGCAGCGATGATCACAAGATTACAGTTACCACCAATAGTCATGTTTTTTCTAAACGATATATGAAATATCTTACCAAGAAATTCATGAAAAAGCATCGTATTCGAGATTGGTTACGTGTAGTTGCTACAGATCCGGTAAGTTTTACCATTTTGATTTTTTTTTTTCTCTCCTTGAAAGACAAGTATTAAGTCGATTTTTCCTTCTTTAATTGATAGAACTCGTATGAAATACGATACTTTAATATTAGCAACGAAGGAGATGATGAAGAAGAAGAATAAAGAATTAGACCTTTTTTTTTTTAATTATTAAATTGAGCCTTTTGTAACTAATATTAAGGGGAAAAATGTGCTTTTATTTAAACGATTTCTGAGATGATGATTCGTAAAAAAAAAACTCTTGTCAAAGTAATTAATATATTGTAGCTGTAAATTAGCTTATCCTTTACAGCAAATTGAAAAAAAAAATAATAAAGTAACCCATTCTGAACATTAAAATGAAACAATTATTTTAATTTCTATCACTCTTCTAAATCGAATAATTTACTGGTGTATTCTGTATCACCTGATCTATTGGAGTGTGTAACGCGCTATCGGATCTAGGTCGTAACTTTAGTCAAAGTTGGTAAATTTTCAATTGATTATGTTAATTCCAAATTTTTTTTTCCTTTTTTTTTTAAAAAAAAAAAAAAAAAAGTAAAAAAAATGAAGTCAAATCCTTTATCTTTTGATAATTCAATCCTTGATGACCCTGATAGGATTACCGAAAAAGTTCGAAAAGAATCGAAAAACGTGTAATTGATTTATTCCGCTTCAATTGTTTCGATTTAATGATGTTTATCAATGATTTAACATGTTCCGACCAAATTTGATTACCAGATACAATAGATTAAAATCAATCGCCGAAGATGCCTGCTTTGTTAATGAAATATCGGACTTGATACCATACTTACCCGTCATAGGTATTTTTTTTTGGGAAAAATAAGAAAAAAAAAATTACCTCCCAAAGCATGCTAATTTTTTTTTTTTGGAAACTTGGTCCTTAGCAAATGAGAGGTGTGGTACCTGGTATGTTGATCCAGAAAAAGTATACTTCCTTTTTACATTCGTTCGATCCAAAATATATCTCGTTATATCTCAGTTAATTGAACTATTTTTTTTTTTTTGAAAGTTCTGTCCACAAACGGTCTATTTCAAATCCACCGATGGTCATACCGGAAAATGGGCGTTCAACCTACGCAGGTTAAACGCTCATCTCTTTAATATCATCGCAAAACATGGTGGGTAAGTCATTCTTCATCAAACGGTTTTTACCGGTCTTCACATGATCTACTCAATATATGCTAATCATTTGAATGCGCAATCGCATTCTAAAGATGTATAATAGTGGATTCGACACGCAGTGGAAAAAGGATTCCCGATTCTCAATCAAAGACGATACCAATTTGGTGTTGTACCATCAATAACGCGATCAAGAAATTTCGGGATTCTGTTACATCCGATGAGGATATATCGGAATCAGAATGGGACACGGAATTTCATTCACTTCCATCATTAATCTCAAAATCCGAACATGATCAAATCGTTTCGTTAATACCACAATTCACCCAAAATCTTCTCGTAAGTAAAAAATCTTCTGTAAAATATCTTTCTTTTACGATTTAACAATAAAAAAACTTATCCACGTTAGAATTCCGGTTTTGACATGAGATTACTTTCAAACAAGTTAAGAAAACCCCTTCGACCACTTTGGTTTACCCCATCATCACATTTATTTGTACACGGTTTACCAGATTACACCAAAATGTCATTTCATCCCGTAATCAGTTTATGCGCGTCACAAATGGTTAAATCTGGAGTCGAAAGAAGGAAAGGATTTCTTTACGTACAAGGGTCAGCCGATGATCATGAAATGTGGGCGAGGGTAATTAACATGTGTTTTGCGGAACATACTTGTTGAATATTTTTATGTGGTTGACACTTCCATACAATTTTTATTATTTGGCTATTATTAGGGATTGACTTCTGCTTTGTTTTGGAAATATCATAAGGAAATCTTGAATGAAAATAATTCTGTTAAATGTGAAAAAATCGTTTTGGGCATTATCCAACAAGAAAGGATTGCAAATTCCGAATTATTAAAATCAAATCATTCGGACCTCTCAAATGATCCGTTTAATTTTATAGGAAACACAAATATCGCAATTGGAAACTTTAAAAGTGGTAATGTAATTTTTGTAATGTAATTTTTATTAAAAAAAGAATAAAAAATAAAAAAATTATTAACTAAATTGTTTATAGCATTTCCACCTGAATGCTGGAAGAATTTCGATTGCATCATAAACTGTACACCTGAATCATACACCTCTAATGAAGCGTCACCAAATTATTTACAATTACCAATACCTGAAGGAAAGAAAGGACAAACCATTTTTTATTCAAGCATTTCTATTGCCTTAGAATTTATTAGAGAATCATTGGAAGAAAAAAAGAAAATTTTGATTCATTGTAAACAGGGGTAAATTCTACATGATAGTAAAAATGAGTTTGGATTAAGAGTTCTTTTAAAAACAAATCTAAAATATTTTCTTGATCCAGTATTGATAGAAGTTGTGGAATTGCATTGGCCGTTTTGATAAAATATTTTGATGACCAAGGTAATAAATAATAATACTTTACTTCTATTAATTGTATTATTTATCTATTTAAAAGATCTTTGACTGTTGTATCTTTTGTTTTTCAAATAATTTATCTAGGAAATTTTATTAGGAATGGAATAGACCATCAAAGTTAGTAGTAGATCAATCCTATTTCTTAGATTACCGATTTTTTTAACCTGTTTTCTTTTTTCTTTTCTTACAGACATTACTAAAGAACTTGTTCAAAATAAACTTTTATATATTACATCTTTTAGAGTAAAGGTAGACATTACCTTTTTTTTTTTTATGAAAAATATACATCTTTTTATTAATCATTTAATCTTTTTTTTTTGTGACCTTCCAGGCGAATCCGACGAGAGCAACATTGAAAAAGATTAATACGTATTTTATGAGTTAGATTGCGATACCGCGTTTTGAATAAATCAAGGGATTGACTACCAGAATTATCATAACTTTCAAAAATATCAAAGGAAATTCACGTGATTGGAAAGAAAATTTGACACGTTTGATGCCACCATTTTGCCATTTGCATTAATTGCACAGACAATCGCATCGTTTTCCCAACCAAGGTGTTTGATGATTCGTTTAGCACACAACAAAGAAAAAAAAAAATTTTTTTTTCAAACGTTTAAAAAAGTAAATTAAAAATAAAAAAAAGATTTTTTTTTTTTTATAGACAAAGTGACCCTTTTTCATTTATCTTTCGATTTCAGACCGCATTAAGGAAAAAAAAATTTTTTTTCGTGGCGCAAGCGCATATGATACATACAATCGTCATTTTCACTTTCAAATTATTTCCATATACGATATACAGATATTATTTCAACCATTTTATTATTTAGTTCAACTTTGAAAGGTTTCTTTATATAGTTAATGATTATCCGAGATTTCAACAAAGAAATTTTGGTGGGTAAAAAAAAATTATTTGCACGTCCCTTTCATTTTAATAACATGATGATTTCGGTGGGAGCACGTACATTTTCGCGCCCAACTTCGAGGATGAATGAATGTATCAACACATGAAATTAATAAATATTATAACGTGCGATTTCACGAGACATAAATATATTTATATATTATTTTTTTTTTTTTTTCACTTCGTCTTCCAATGCCTTTTGCCATTATCTATAAGTTTTAAGATTCCCCCATCCAAACAATTACCCCAAATAGTGATCAATTGAATTGAATTGAATTTTTTAGGTAATGATTCTTTTTTTTTTGATAAATCTGTTAGGGTTTATGTAATAATTAAATAATTAGGTCATTGTTGTCCCGCGTGAATGAATGCATTTCACCTAAATGTTCCCCGCTTTTTCACCTTTTTTGACACGGAAAAATTTATGATCTTTTTCTTTTTTCTTTTTAATTCAAGATTTACTCTGGTCATCTACATCGGACATCTTATTAGCATTAAAACCACGAACAATTGAAAAAAAAAAAAGAGAGACATCGGATGTTTTTATTAGTCAATGATCGTTGTATTTTTTTATTACACACCGATGTCATTATACATTAAAAAAGGGTTTTCCGGCAAGATAAGTTTTTCTCATGACATTATGATTTCTTTACGTACATTGCAGGCAACTATTCGATTTTCATACCTGAGATACAAAAGGTATCATGATATCATTTAATCAAAAAGTCAAATAAATAATTAAAATAAAAAAAAATGGCGCCCTCTCTCATAGATAAAAATGAATCAAGTTTGACATGTACAACACATGAAATTTAATATTTGTAATCAAAAAAAAGAGACCAAAAAATTCTTTTGATATTCAACAATGCTTTTTACTACGACCTCGGGTTCCATTTTGGGGTGATTTATTTTATTTATTTATAAAAAATTGCGCGTGAATGTTTCCTGCGGACACCGTACAGGCACATCACATTTAATCCTGATTCCACGTGAATTGCCACAGGCTCTGTGAAAAAAAATTCTTGACTATCCTTTCTAATCGAACGATAAAGTTTTTTTGAAATAGAAATAGCAACAAAATGTAATGCGAATTAAGTTTTAAGAAAAACCGTGTCGACTTTAAAATAACATACAAAAATATAATTATAAATTTTTTAAATTTTTTGATCAGAGCAAGATTAACATCAGACAGATAGGCTGCGCCGATTTAAATCTCAGCCAAATTATGATAAGGTCACACATTTGACCAAAAAAAAAAAGCAAACCCACCTTTTCAAAAGAAAAAAAAAAAAATTTCTAGGAGTCTAGAATCGAATTTAAAAGTATCATTGAAACCTTAAAAAAAATTTTCTATGAAAAAATTTAACCTACAAGGAACAATAAAAAAAATAATTTTTTTTTTTGGGCGGGAACTTTTTTTTTTTTTGATATATTATTTCTTTTTCTTTTGTCTAGGAATTATAATGAGGGAGGGTATTGTTGGGCAACAATAAATAATTGTTAAAACAATAAATGCCAACAATCAGAGTACAAAAAACGTATTTTTAATTTTAATCTTTTAATATAACCAAAAATGAAAAACATGTGTACATAATAAACATATTATTAACTTGATGCTTCTAAAAATTGTCATTTTATTATTATTTTCAGTTTCTTAAAGGTTGCGACATGAAACAACGTGTAAAGATAAATTCGGAGATTAAAAGAACAAAGAAATTTATCATATCATGATGAGAAAAAGAAAAAGAAAAAAAAAAAAAAAAGAGGGCGTGGAAAAACTAGTTGCAGGGGAAGGCACAGGAGAAAAAAAAGGGAAAAAAAAAAATTTAATTTGAAACCAAATTTAGAATGGTTGAAAGCCCGCTAGTCCATTTAAGGGGAATTTGTTACTTGAATACATTGTGAATATGCGACATGGTTTTTTATTGTAATGGATTTTCTTTAACGTCATGCCCTTGATGTCATATTGGCTATAATCCTCATTGTCCCAAATCACAAATTTGAAATCACCGAAATAACACGAAAATAAGCTAAACTTATGTGATCTTTTTTTAATGGGGTGTGTTCCATGTGAAATTTAAAAAAGATAAACTGGTTTTTTTTGTTTGTGGTTGCTTTCAATTATTAAATTCGTGGAGTGTAATATAATAATATATATTGGACCCTGCAGATCAATGAATGAAATGGCATATCACCAAGGGTACGGGTCCGTCTTATTTGTGATGTATTATGTTGCAAAAAAAACTGTCAAACAATCTGAAATCTGATTGCATTTGTTTGTGGTAAATAAAGGGTTGAAGTTTCTCTTTTGTAATAATGAAGAAAAAAACAAGAGGACGATGTTTGTTTATAAATGGGATAGATGGCTGCGAGATTCTAGGACACTGTTGTGTTATTGTCCTTCAGGGTACACTTATTAATAAATAGCATACAAAGCACGATTGCGGGTATAATTTAAAATGTACAATGGGCTCAATGTCATCGCTCCCCTTCGTGAGAAATTTTTTTTTTTTTAAAAAAAAGTACCGGGTATATGCTTACATAATTATCGGGAGAAAGAACAATTTTTATTAACTAATAATATATAAAAAAAAGAAAATTGAAATTGACAGGCCATCAATACAAACAAAAAGATCACCCACGCGAAAAAAATAATTTTTTTTTTCTTACAAAGAACAACTGCAATTTGAATATAATATAATTTTTTTTTACTTATCTTTATCTTGAAATCACATGCTTTCCTTTACTGATTAATAAATTGAGTTTTGCCGCACTTAAAAGTTTGGTCGTACCGCCTTTTCCTTGCATGATAAAGTGTTGTTGAGATGTCTAAATTTGTATCTATTGTTTATAATTGATTAATTGATCAGTTGATTATGCATGTGGTGGATATGATGTCAATATGTAAAACCATGAGGTCAAAAAATCACAACGTGTGCTTCGCCAACATTTGTGGAAAAAAAATTTGTTTGGCTAAAAAAAGACAATATGAGATATATATATATTTTTTTTGGGGCAATATTCTGAAAGTCTCGTATTGTGATATCTTGTTATCATTCGAATGTTGACAAAACCTTCCATGATATTTCTCCATTTGATCCTAAGGTTTTTTTTTTATTCTTTGTTCTCGCATTTATATTGAATTTCTTTTTTGACAGTTTTTCTATTACCTATTATATTAAAAAAAAAAAAAAAAAAAATGTGATTTTTTTTTATTGTATTTTCGAGTATAAAGGACTTTTTTAAACGAAAAACCTTAAATGTTTAAATTCCCGCGTTTTGAATTTTAACCTGAAAGGTACCTTTTTTTTTAAAAAAATTTATAAACATGTCAAAAAAAAGTTGGGAAAAATTATCAGAACAGAAAAAGGGGTAAAATAAAATATATTTTAATTTTTGTATTACCAACCTGTCAAAAAAAGGTATTTCTTTCTTTATTAATCAATTATTACCCCTAATTTGACATTAAATAATCAATTAATTATTTTAAATTTATTTTGTTCTTTCAACCTCTTTATAAAAAAGAAAAAGATTAAGTAGGAAAAGAAGACTTCAAAAACTGGTTTTTTTATATATATTCTTTTACTAACTATTTAGACCAAAATATTTGGAAAATTAACAGTTATCCTTACTTGTAATTAAACCAGTTTTTTTTTTAAAATATTCTAATTTAAAAAAATTTTTTTTTGTCTAACTCGGGATTCAACACATAATAAAAACTGTCAAAATCAATACTAATCCATATTTGGTTATAAACATCCAATTACACTTCAAAAAGTGAAAATCCAATGAATTAATGAACTTTTGACACCGCTTATTGATGATTAATGTAATCCCTTTTTTATTTTATTTTTCTTTTTAAAGAAAAAAACATTTGACCAAAGTAAATAAAGTTTTTTGTTATGTTTTTATTTTTATTTTTTTATTTATTTATTTTTTTCCTTTCACCACAAACATCAAAATAAATAATTTAAAAATACAGCAAATAAAGTTTCATCCCCTAACGGAAATGATCCCTCTGTGAGATACAAACAAGTTTTTTATTTTTGAACAAGAGAAGGAATGTTTTCGGCGCGTGACCTGAGCGAGATCATGTGAGTCTAACGAGATTGGACTGCGCAATCTATCTAATCTTAATTATTTATTAAGGTTTCATTGTTATAAATAGTACTTTATCCATCCTAATCATGCGGATTTGTTTTGCAAAACCTTAATTTTGAACCATTAACAAGAAACAATCTATCATTATGAAACTTCCGAGTCATTAAAAATTCAAAAAAAAAAAAAAAAAATTTTTTTTTTTAAAAAAAGAGATTGATATTTGCAATTCACCTAATGTACAGTTTATTAAATATGTGAGAACATGCAAAGTGTATTGCCTCGTGTATATGAAAAGTATGAATGCGTGCGTGCTAATACGGTGATGAAAAAATAACCTCAATTAGAAAGATCAGCATATCACTCGACGTCTTTCAGGCTCGATTTCGGAGTATCTAAAGGGTTAGGTCCATGTTGTTTAAATCACCCCACAATAAAAAATCTCTAGTTTGGTATATGTGATGTGATACATAATTGTTCTTTGAACAATTATTCTTTTTTTATATTAATTTATATAAAGATCGTCCAATAGGCAAATTTGCTGGGTACACTTAACCGTAAATGTACATAATTACTCCCATCTTTGTGGTGTCAAAGGGTGTCACTCAAATAGCTGTCAAAAAAAAAAAAACACTCCTTTATATATTAGTGGCGAATGTCTGATCAATTAATTATGACATGATAAACTCGGATCTACTAATATGAATAATCTTAATGAAATTTGCGATTGTTTATTACAATCCATTATCATGTTTACTTCTTGTTTACGAAATACATATCAAACAAATCTATTTTGTTTTGTTCATTATGGAAGAATAATTGATAGGTTAATCATTCTCATTTCACATGTCGTAAAATTAAAAATTATTTTCTCACTTTCGGCTTGGGAAAAAAAACGTGTATTTCATTTCCTCACATAATCACCTTTTTGTTCAAAACATCCCTTCGCTTTGTCACGTCCACAACAGGTTTAGGGCCATTCATCGTCGTTCCGAATATTCCCGTCTTAGGTCCTAAAGCAAAATGTGGGTTCCCATTACCTTTGTAAACTTGGGGTACTAATGGCCGTGTGATATTTTGAGATGTGATGAAATGTGATGATGACGTTTTCATATAAAAAAAATCTTATGAAACCCAATAATAATACCTACCTTCACATATTATCACTGGGGAAAGAAAATGCTTTCTTCAAAAAAAATTTTTTTTTTGTTTATTTGTTCTAATCTTTGAAATCTCAAAAAAAAAAAAAAAATAATAATCGTCCAATAATGGTTAAAAGTCAGCCAATTCCATGTGATAATGGATGCTCTTTTTTATATATATATTTTATATAAAAACATTTCTATTGTATATACAATCATATGTCGATTAGATTTTTTTAGATTAATCAAATATACTGTATCAACAATTCAAGTTCATGCAGTAAAAAAATAATATAACATAATAATTAATTCTATCTATTTATACAGGCCAATTTCTCGTTTTCCCAACTTCTCTTCTGTGTATTTTTGCCATCCTACATAATACGAATTATATCAAACTGTTATTTATTATTTTGTTTACTTTTTCCGTTCACAAGTAAAGACCTTTTTACTTTTGAACCTTTATTATTTTTTCGCTTATCGTCAAATTATATTTTTTGGAAAAAAAAATTTTCTTTTTTTTTCCTCTCCTCTCCTCCTCTTTTACGAATATCAAAATTTCTCTTTTTAAACGGTGCTATTTAAAAAAAAAAAAATTATCAAGAATGGCAGCCGCTTTGAAAAATATCTTGCATCCCACCACTGTTCATAATCCCACTATTTTCACTCAGCATGCTCATTTATATGATGGAAATCAATATCGTAATTTCACGAATAATAACGCAACTTCAACAAACGTTAGCGTTACCATCAATTCCCCCAAAAAGAGAACCCATTCGACCGTTGACAAGTCGAATGTTCCTCGTCCTTACAAGTGCACCATGTGTTATAAGGCCTTCTATAGGCTGGAACACCAAACACGTCATATTAGAACTCATACCGGTGAAAAACCTCACCGTTGTGATTTTGCAGGATGTGAGAAACGTTTTTCGAGATCCGATGAGCTAACTCGCCATAAACGTATTCATAATAATACCAATAAAAGGGATAAGCGTAAAACTCAAAAGATGACTGGGATGGACTTCAAAAACAATGTTCCACCCCCTCGTTTCGACCTGAGTCGACCATTTGATGATGATGAAGACATTGGGTTTGGGATGTTTTCGGATAGATTTTATAGAAGCAGGAGTAATAGTGATAGTAGTACCATTAGTTCCTCGAGTTCTTCGAGCGTTGGCAGTAATATGAGTGGGAACGTTAGTCTGTTAGGTTCCGTCAGTAATAATCATCAAATCCATGCCCCGATGGCCGCGACATATTCTTCTAGTTATTATCCCCCTCGAATGTTGCATCATCCCCTGCTTAATGATTACGCTTCGTTAGAAACGACGAAAAGGCGTAGAAACTCCGAACCGGAATACATGATGTTGAGCCCTCCATTATCCGCCATACCTTTTGACGCTCAATCCAGTTCGTCCCAATTCTGCCATGATAGTGGTTCCGATGAGGATGAGATCCTTACCCCCGTTCACTCACCCGAGCACTCCCCTTCCTTGGGTCCTCACGTGGTTGGGTCTGACACCTTTACCAATTCTTCAAACTTTAATAATAATTTCATCCCCGTTTACAATGGTGGTAATAACTTTCAATGGAAACAGAATGAATTTCAGAATTATGCGGCAAATTTTAACAATTCCGCCCCTATATTAGCCAGTAACCGTATATCCGACATTGTGAATGACCCTACTTTCTCGCCAAGTGTCAGAACTCTTCCCCCTCTCACTAGCAATGGCAACACCAGTTCGTCTTCTGCTGTTTCTACGACATCCGTATCATCAAATAATCATTCAAATTTTAGTTTTGACTTTAATCGATCAGCCTTTTTTCCCCCGGTTCATCGTTATTAAAGGTATTACGGCGTTTGAACGCTGTATGAAAAAAAAAAAATGCAAAAACTTCGTAGTATAACGTGTCGAATGGTTTACGATTTGCCTTTATTATTTTCGGTTCTTAACCCCGGTTAAGGTTTAAAGAGAAAGTATTTCTCTTTATTAACGTTCAAAATATTATTTTTACCGATTTACGATTTTTACTATAACTTTCATATCTCTCATCGATTTTTATTTTTTTTTTCCTTTCACAAAAGATTTTTTATCTAGTATATCAAATTTTTTAGAATTCAACTTTGTCTTACACTTTTTTCACTCTTTTTCCTTTAATTGATATTACAACAACGACAATTTTTTTTTATCTTTGGATGGGTGGGTGCGTAGATCCTACCGGCAGTCTTTCTTTTTTTTTCAATTCACGATATAATGATTTTATGTTATATATACTTGTATACAAAAATCACATATACTGTATGATATTTTTTTTTACATAGAAAACAATCTTTTTTTTTTTTATATATATATATAAAAAAAAAAAAATTGAAAAACTTTATACAAGTTTTTCACTGTACATATTTTTTATAGTTTAGATATTCAACCATTTTCACCCTTATATATATAGCAAAACCAAACCCTCTTTTTATATTATAGCTATTTTTCATCCTTTTATATGACATTATGTTTCTCAAGGAAGAGAGGGTTTTGGATTATAATTAAGTTTTAGAAAATTTTTTTAGCTTTTTCTTTTTTTTTAAAAAAAAAGGCTCATATGTTTTGAGGTGTGTATGTATATATGCATATATAAAAATTATCATTTTTTTTTTTTTGTTCCAAAAAAGACGCGTTAATCGAATATTTATTTCTATTGAAAAAATTTCTTTTTCGTCTTTTCAACAACCTTACCAAACATTTATGATTTTCTTTTCTAAATATAAAATATATACACACATATGTAAACATGAACAAAAAAAATTATTCTCATTACTATGTAAATATCATTATAGAAAAACAACCAAAAAAAAATTTTTTATCATTATCACTTAACCATTTATATGAACTTATTATTATGATCATTTTTTTTATTTTTTTTTTATTTTTTAAAAAAAAAAAAAAACCTATTACAAGATTAAATACAAACACATTTTTTTAACAAAAAACCTCATCTTATAATCTTTATTCATTCTCTCATTTTTTTTTCTTTTTTTTTTTTAAAAAAAAAAATAAAATAAAATAAATAAAAGATTAAGTATGAAACCAAAAAAGAAAAAAAAAACAACAAAATAGCACAATATTTCATTATTATATACCTTTTTTTCTTATATTTTATATCAAAAAATTTTTTTCTTAACGCGTCTTTTATGTTTATATGTATATATATATTCCATTACCTTTTTTAGATAATATCTATTCTCTGCAAATTTAAAAAATCATGTACAGTGCAGTGTTTTCATGTAAATTTTCTTTAATCTTTTCATCAAAAACAAAAAACAAAAAAAAAACAAAAAAACAACAAAAAAAATTCACTTTTTCTTAAGACATATTTTGTTTATAGATAATTTTTTTTTGTAACACTTTATTATTAAAATTTTTTTGAGCGAAATAAAAATCCCTTCTCCTTCCAAAAAAAAACGTTTGAAGGAAGATGAAGAAGGAAATTCATTCGCCTACAAATACAAACTTTTTTTTTAGAATATCTTTATTTTTATATATTGGTTACATTTTCCCTTTCATCTGTATTTTTTTAAAAATAAAATAAAAAGGAAAAATAAAAAACGTAGAAATTTAAAAAATAATATGACTGCCATGTATATAAGAAAGATTGAACTTCTCGAGACTAAATAAATGCGCCAAAAGAACGTGACGATGAAAAATAAAGAGTGGTCTAAAAAAAACTTTACGGACCGAATAAAGTGTAACATCAAAAAAAAAGGTACAAGAAAAAAAAGAAAAACAGAAAAAGAAAATAATGAAAAATTCTAAATAACATAATAATATAAAAAATAGAATAAAAGGATGGGGAACTACGAGATACGAAATGTTCACGTGTACACTTTATTATTTTTTTTTAAAAGCAAACAAATTAAGTGTACGTTTTTTTAGGTATCACACGGAAAAAACCCAAACTCTAATGTTTTGTTGATTGACTCCGTGTATCATTACGATTATGATCGATGTGCCGTATGCTTACCTGAACGGCCGTTATAAAAAAAGTTAACGTTGTTCTAAATTTCCAGGATGTAATCACGATACGTAATACGCGAGTCCGCAGTATTCGAAGTTTTTTTGAGGGGGGTTTTTTTAGGATTACGCAAGGACATTTTCGAAGGCGAATTACGCATGAAGGAAGGTATCAAGGAGATCTTTGATTTTTTGGAGGGAGAAATTAATTTGTAATATACTGAGATCTTGAACCGAGGATCGAATTAAACTTGATCAATTACTTTTTGCGCGTAAAGGTGAGTAATATTTGTTTTGTAAATAGATCACAAGGATCACAGAAATTCGTAAGATTTGAACTAATCTAAAACGAGTTATGATTTTTTCCCAACCACACTAAATCTTATAATGTTTCTTAGGATTTGTATTGTTATTATTGATTTTATGATAACCCCATTTTTTTTTTGTTTGTTTGAGAGTCTATTGTGACATACATATGATTCATTAGCTAATATTAAAAGTACTGTTTTGTGGTTTTTTTTTTATAAAAAAAATGATATGATAGTAGAGTAATTAATAATAGATCGATGTAAGGTAAACAAAAAAAGATATTCATATGAAAATAATGTGAAAAAAAAATGTGATGATGATTGGAACAAAAAAAAAAATTTTTTTTTTTTTTCCTTTCCTTGCATAAAAAGTGTGGAGACAAAAAAAATTGGTTGAAAAGCATAAGATTTTAATTAATTTCACAAATCGTCTGTATCCATCTTATTATTTAGACATGTCATGTCATCAATTGACTTCATGTTATGTAACCGGGGTTTAATTGTTTCTTCATAAAATCAAAATAAAAAACAATAGGTAGCTTATTATTTTTTTAAATTGTACTGAAAAAAAAAAGTGTCTTAAAAAATGAATTGGATTATTTAGAAATTACGAACATATTTTGATAAAAATTATGAAATAAATTATTTTTTTTTTTGAATAAAATTAAGTGGTCTGTTCGCGATATATTCTTTGAATCGTTCAAATATGCGGGGTAAAAAAAAAAAAATTTTTTTTGTGGGGTAAATTTTTTTTTTTTGGTCATAGCTTTTTATTTATACTGGGAGAATTCGGTGAGATGCGGGTATTTTCATTATACATAAGATAAAATGTTTTACCCTTTTTAAGGTAAAATCGAAAAGAAGAAAACGTGTATTATAAAGCATTCTGTAAGAGTCGAGTCGTTAAGCGAGTATAAAAACATTTCGATAAAAAACGTTTGACGATTTTTTGAAGGTCGATTCTATTGAAATAGAAAAGACCTTCGCGTTGAAATTGACGGCGAAATTGAAACGATAACGGTTTTGATATTTTGCACTGGTAACGCATCCGCCTGAATTTATATAAAAAAAAAAAGATCAGGTAAACAGAACGACTGCGCTTTGAACAAATCGTCATTGAACATTAAACATTTAACAATGTATTTACCCCACAATGTCCCAAAAGCAGTGCACAATTCAAACTTTTTTTTTTCCCTTGCTGTGATGGGATTGCCCCAAAGTAATAAACAAATAAGCATACAGAAGTAAATAATTTATCATCGGGATGAAAAAAAAAAAAAGAATAATGACATTGAATTGTTCACCATCCATACGAAAAAAAAATTTTTTTTTATTTCTGCCTTCCATTGTCTTTTTTTAATAAATTTATGCGCGCCTTTATTTTTTTCTTTGTGTTTTACCTATTTCGGTCATATTTAAGAGATCAAAACGTACAAACGCCCAACATATTAATGCACTTAATGCTTTAAAGGAAATTTTTTTTTTCTTTTCGGTTTATTGCCAAACTGATTCTAACCCTTTCAACCAAAAAAATTTATTTGGTTGATTTTTTTAAAAAAATAAAAAAAATTAAAAAATAAAAAAAACAAACAAACAAAAAAAAAAACAAACACGCGTCATCATTTTATTGGAAAATTCTTTGGTCTTGAGGATTCAGGAATTCGGAAATTTTTTTTTTGAGGAGAAACGAAAAAAAGATTGTCATTGTTTGAATTTACATGTTTGTTGAACAGGTGACTTTATGAATTGGTCAGGAGGTTTATTCTAGACATTTTTGTGTTCCCTAAAATGTTGGCTAAATAAAAAAAGCATTTTTTTTTATTTACGTGTTTTTTTTTTCATTTTCTTAAAACCAAAATGAATAAACATTTAGAGATTTTTGACGTCCTGGTCGCACGAACGCCACATTTTTTTACAACAATCAGTATATTGTGAAACGTTACATGAATAGATTTTAACAATGATTGTTACAACAATTCTTGCTCATTTTCGGTTCAGCAAAGTTCTAGTGGTTCAATCGAAAAATTTCTCTTAGGAACCTTCCAATACCCAATTTAAAAGATAACCCCCACTTTATGATTTCTGATTTTTAACGATTTCTGATTTTTTCATAAAACTCGTCATCAAGGCTTTATCGTAAATGAATCTCTATTTGGTGTAAAATAACGCGAACCCAACAATGTGAATCTTCCGCCTCAACACATTATTAAAAAAAGGTCTTTCAACTTGGATTGGGGGTGTTACGTCCCTTTTTAGTGGAATGAAACGGCCAATGGGCTTGAGCCGCATTAAGAATGGTTTATCGCTTCGCCAAAGACGTCGCATGCACGTGACATTTCATTTAAATTTATGCACGCGTATACTTTACTTCATGTACGCACCTTACCCCACTCATTATGCAAATTCATGCTGCCAACAAAATAATTTCGGTTTCCTTTTTCGGCAATAATCTTCGTATTTAGTAATATGTTTAAATCGGCTAATGAAAAATATTTTTCATAATCAAATTTTTTTTCTTGTGTTTCTAAGCAA